TGTCTCCAAACTGCTCAGCCTGAGCTGTCCCTCTGATGTGCTCAGGATTAGAACTCTTTCTTTTCGTCAATTTAACCATCTCTAAACCATTCATTATAGCATTCCTTACAACATCTTGCAAATCTGTCCTTTTACTCTTGCTGCTATCCCTCTGTCACAAAATACATCCCAAAACTCGTCTCAACCCATTCTGCAAACAATAACATATATTAATTTTGATTTAAACAGATTTTATTCTCATAAAATAGATATGCATATTATATTCTAAAACAAAATACTAACAGTGAGTTCTGTAACCTCCTCTTCATCCTCCTCCTCCTCCTCTTTAAGATCGTCCTCTTCTTCATCAGAGTTTGCTTTAGGCCAGTACCAGTCTTCTCTCGGTACAGTTATCCCCTGTAATGAGAAGAAACCTCAGCTAGGAAATACTTTGTGTCAGTCGTCTGTAATTTTCCTCCTTTCACTGGAAAGAGACTGATTAGGGAGAGATCTGCTACTAACACTAGCACTGTGATGTGCAGGTGTCCATAAGGAGCTATACTCGTAATTCTTTCTACCTTTTGACTGTCAAGCTGTTCGCAAGCTCGCTGACTCCTCCTGAGGTCTCCTTCAATCTTTCGCTCCTCTCTCTCCGTCCTTACTCTTGACCTGAAAATGCAAAAAAAGAAAAGGTTACAAACACAAACTATAAGACACTGTTATCATCGGATGGGACAACGTTTAGAGGCAGCTGCATGCTTCACCTGAAATCTTCCAGAGATTTGGTCTCATTCTGTTGTTTGGCTTGTACTTTCTGCCTATAATGCTCCAGTTCCTCTTCAGCTTTTCTTTTCTTCATCTCTTCCATTCCAATACCCCCTCTGTCTGATTATAAACAGAAAGGTGCTGCAATCATTCAGCTAGGCTGCACACAACATCACTAAATACTCATTTTAAAATAACATTTCCTACCTGTTTTGATATTTAGTGGAATTGGATCAACTCTTCCTGCTCCTATAGGGGTAACAAATATTAACATCAGTGCACACTACAAATGCAAAGCAAATTCACAATTTAGCGAAGAATAAACTTGCCCTGCTTCCCAAGTCCTTGCCCAGCTTTGTAGCCCATTTTCTGCAGAAGTGCAAACCCTTTGTTTTCATTGCTGATGGAGCTCTGTAAAGCCGCTTCTCGGCTTTCGCTCTCCTGCTCCTTGTAGCTCTTCTGACGGTTCTTAATATTGGTTTCCTTTTGCTTCTCCTCCCTCTTCATTGCTTCTTTTACCCGCCTCACCATGCTGACACCCGGTTTCACATCTTGACTGACAGTCGGAGGGACAAAGAAAAACGTTATAAGGGTGTAAAAAAATACCGATAACTATTCTGAGAGCAATGACACCCTGCTTCTTTGTTTTGATAGCTCAATATCGGAATATACTCGATTCAACAACAGTTTCATAGCACTGACCGAACATTGTTGTCAATATGAACATTTTACAGTAAACACCAGAGCCAGAACACTTACAGTTTGCTAAGAAATGCATCAGACATATAGTCCTCTTCTTCATCTGACATTCTGTACAAACTAAAGAGAGAAAAAACAGAGAAAAACAGCTAAAAAATAAAAATCTTTGGTTTGTGCGTTTGTATTTTCTTCTGTGGTGTTCTGTTCCTTTGCAAAAACGTTCCGAGTAGCTGCAAGGTACACACAAAGTCTACAGTTCCGCTGCATTTGGCATATATTTCAAAAGAACGTGTTTGTCCTGTGAAATGGACTCAACTAATGTCACGTCTATTTTTTGTTTATTTCACAAAATTCTACAAGCTATATGATTTAAGTTAAATTATTTGTTTGGTTTAACATCGGACAAACTTCACAGCGACACCGCCCATAGTCGTCGTCATTCATCCTGGGTCACCGAAGCACAGGTAGGATGAACAGTTTTGCTGTATTTGTCCCGTATTTCAGGGAGTTTGTTGTCACTGAGGGGTATATTTTGAACAACTCAAGGTTGTAAAAAAATGACGACGAAGAGCCAAAGTCCTATTTAGTCGTCAGTGTTTCGCGGAGTTTAGCTTTCCCCTTTTAGGAAGCAGCTAGCTTATGTTGCTAACTAGCTCGCGTATTAACAGCTGATGGATGACAGCTGTCAACACATCACTGCAGTGTTAATATTTTTTGTGTTATTCCATACGAGACTTGAGCGCGGCTATTATAACTTTACAGCCACTGACATTAAAATTACTGACGTACGGAACACAGCGAAGGCATTCCAATGGCGATAATTGGTCCTTAGCATCTATAGGGCTGTTATAACCTGTAAATGCTGATGGATGGGATAGTTTATTGACTGAACAGGCGTATTGTTAGAGAAGAGGAATTTAAATTAGACAACTGAGAGGCCCTGTCATGCTGTTGGGTACAGAGTTTGTCTCCTGAGCAGGAATGTCCAACCTTCAGATCAATACAGATGTTCCCAGTATTTCTCTTCATCCTATAATACAGTATTCCTTTCCTGCTAGGAATGATCTCTTCCATGGTGGCAATGAGGTGCAAGAGCTGATAGAACTTTTAGATGAGCATGAAAATGATTTTGATCATGTTATGTGGTGACTGAGTGGCCTTCACAGTCACCACTTCTCAAGTTTATTGGAGCCATTTCAACAACACAGCTGCATATACAACAAGACACATCAAATGACACAATACAGCACAACATACAAAGTACACGTGTATTGAACACATCAACCCATAAAAGTAGTGCAGTGTGTCAGTGTACCTATGTTTAAAGGGATTTTAGTGAATGACGTAGAGTCTAGATTGCAGAAGGGAACAGTCCACAATGCAAGAGGTTAAGTTAATATTGCAAATGCATGATACATACGTGTAAGTTTTGCTGCATAATATATTCAGATTCTGGGTGGCACGGTGGTTAGCACTGTTGCCGCACAGCAAGAAGGTCCTGAGTTCAATGTGTGGAGTTTGCATGTACTCCCCTGTTTGTGTGGGTTATCTCTGGGTATTCCAGCTTCCTCCCACCGTCCAAAGACATGCAGTTTCTGGGGAAAGGTTAATTGATTAATCTAAATTGCCCATAGATGTGAATACAGGAGTGAATGTGAATGTGAGTGCGAATGGTTGCCTGTCTCTCTGTGTGACAGACTGGCGAGCTGTCAAGGTGTACCCAGCTTCTTGCCCTATGACAGCTGGGATAGGCTCCAGCGCCCCCCGCGACCCTGAAAAGGATAAGCGGAGGCGAATGGATGGATACATTCAAATTCTATGATCACAACTTGCTGTAGGTAAATTGAAACAAAAAAATAATAGAAGGTTCAGCGTATATTTAAGCACCTAATAGCTTGGAGATAGCTACTATCTCTGTTCTTGTAGTAATACCACTGTATCTTTTGCCTGGTGGGAGATGATTAAACAGATGATGTGTAGGAGGGGACAGTGATGATGCTTCTACCTCTCCTGGTGGTTCGGGTGGCATAGTGTGGAGCTATGAAAGGCAGACTACAACCAGTGATGTTGGAGGCTCAAACTTTTTCCAGGCTACTGTTTGTCCTGATTGGTTGTGCTACCTTACCAAGTCAGGTTGGAGATAATAATAATAATAATGATAATGGTTTGTAGCTTCCCAACTGAACCCATATTTTCCATACATCTCTACTTCTGCCAAAGGAAGTAGAGTCTCTGATGGGCTTTGTTAACAGTGAGACTGGTGTTTAAGTTCTGTGATAAAGACTGGCATATAGTGGTGCCCAGGAAGCACTCTTTCAACAGACCTTGGCCAATGAAAGGAAGATGTTGGACTTCTTCCCTTCTAAAGTCAACAGCCTTTAGTTTTAGATTTGCTCAGGATCAAATTGTTGTCTTTGCACCCCTTCACCAGCTGTTCTGTCTCACTCCGGTATGCAAATTCATCACTGTTAGAGATAACGTCTACCACACTGATACCATCACTCAGTCCAGCTGAAAACCCATTGAAGATTTTGTGCTAGTAATGCTCCCTACCGCTATCATCAAAATGCCAAATAAGATTATTTCTAAAAGAAGTGGTGCTCCAGTCTTTCACTTTAGTCAAAAGGACTTGCAGATTCAGTGTCAAGTCACACTGAAGCTGTTTGAGCAAAATATGGTCTACCAACTCCTTGTGTTGCAACAGTATATTAAGCTTTTTTTCCTCTAATTTGTCACGTGTTCGTGAATCATTGCAGAGAGGAGGGCGCACGTCTCTGTGTTCAAGGTTCCTCGCAATGGAGCTGGCTCACAGTCTCCTGCTCAATGAAGATGCTTTGGCCCAGATCACTGAAGCAAAAAGGCCCGTCTTCATCTTCGAATGGCTCCGGTTTTTGGATAAAGTGCTTGTGGCAGCAAATAAGGTGACTATGCAGATTTTTAGCTTTTCTGAGTCAGAATCATTGGAAGCGTTTTGTAACTCGATTGTGCTTTTTTTCCCTTCTTTTTTGAATGCAGGTTGATGTAAAAGAGAAGCAGAAGAAGCTGGTGGAACAGCTGACGGGACTAATCAGCAGCGCTCCGGGACCACCGACTAGAAAACTCCTGGCCAAAAACCTTGCTACGCTCTACAGCATTGGTGACACCTTCACTGTTTTCCAGACTCTTGATAAATGCAATGACATCATCAAAAGCAAGGATGACACACCTGCATACTTGCCAACAAAACTGTGAGTTCCCATTTATTTACTACCGCGTGTATTTTTATTGGCTATTTTTAGAAATACAGGAACTGCATATTAATAGTCTGCTTGAGCTTTCACATATTTCAATTCAAATGTAAGCTGTTCAGAACTGCTTTTAGAGCCCCGGGCACGTGCAGTAGGCCTATCTTCAAGGGTATTAGCAGTTAAGCTGGACGGTAATCTGCAGAACGACATTTTATGTTTAAAAGGAGGGATTAAGTGTACAAGACTAGATTTGCTGTGTTTCTTGCTGGCGTTAATGGAATTTAACAGTGGATGAAGCTGCATCAGTGGTGCCCTGCAGGGTTTTATCCATCAGTCATTCATACCTGCTCATTTCTGATTAGGTGAAATACACGACGTGCCAGGGCCTCCCTTTTGCATACTAAGCCACTGTACTTCCCCTTCAGCATTTTACAGTAGATGAGGTTAAAGCTAATTCATGTATGTAAGCCAGTCTCACCATTTATCAACATAAGGAGGAGTCTAATAAGTTTAAGTTTATAACTATTAATTTTCATGAAGTATTCCATGTATTTGCATATTTTAATTTACATAATTAAGAATTTTCACATAGATTTTTGTCTGAATTGCTGTGTTAATGCACTGTTACACATTTCTTGCAGTGCTGCAGTGGCATGTGTTGGGGCTTTTTATGAGAAGATGGGGAGGATGCTGGGAAGCTCCTTTCCAGATACCATCAATAATCTTTTAAAGGCATTAAAGAGTGCAGAGGTATGCCACATGAGAGTAAAGAAACTAGGAGCAGGCACACTACAATATAAGAACAGTAATGGAGGGATTGATTTGTAACGTCACTTTCTTCTATTTTATTGATGTAGTCACAAGGTAGAGGAGAGATCCTTCTGAGTCTGCAGAAGGTGCTCAGTGGACTGGGTGGAGCTGCAGCTTCTTGTCACAGAGACATCTACAAGAATGCTCGCTCTCTGCTTACAGACAGGTCCATGGCTGTGCGCTGTGCAGTAGCAAAGGTTGGTCTCACAAAAACACACAGTTAAGATTTTTAAATGTGTCAACTAACTTGCGCTTCTTTGTGGGGATTTTGTGGGCTGCTGGGGTCTTCCAAAACATAAAGTTAAAAGCTACGTAGAAGACACACTGAGTAATCTTCAAACTCTTTCTCCCAAAACAGTTAAACTTGGTTTTTGAGCTTAAGTTGTTAAGGCCCATCTGAGGAGCCATCAGCGTTATGCAAAGCTTCATTCTCAGTTTCACTCATAAAAGTAAAGGTACCGCATGATTACTTGTGATCACTGTTTTCAGTACGATCTAATTTTCCCTTTATGACACAAGTACAGCAATTGTGTGTCAGAATGAGTGCAGACTGTTTTTAAAGGGAAGAAACCACTGACTTAAATGCTTTTGCTGTGTCACATATGTCAACCGCATACGCTGTTTCAATTTCCGTTTAGAAAGCGTACAAGTTACTGTGTGTATTGTAACATTATGTGCACATAAGCCTCTGAATTCATGTCATGAAGTAAATATTATCAGTACACACATTATATGAAAAGTAATGATAACGTCCCATTTTTTTCCTCCTTGCCTGATCAGTGCCTGTTGGAGCTACAAAATGAGGCTGTATTCATGTGGACCACTGAACTGGAGAACGTCGCTACTTTGTGTTTCAAGGCCTTGGAAGGGTCTAACTATGGCGTTCGGGTAGCCGTAGCGAAACTGCTGGGGACAGTTATGGCCACGGCCCTGATGCCTAAACAAGCAGCTGGTAGGTTACAGAGTGGATTTGTGTTGTTTTTAGAGTAGCTCACTGCTTCTGTTCTTTATCGCGTTCTTTTTTTAAACGCGTTCTTCTCGCAGTGATGCGTCAGAATGTAAAGCGAGCCACTCTGGAGGAGGTGCTGGAGCTCATGGCCACAGGCTTTCTGCGCGGTGGATCTGGCTTCCTGAAGAGCGGAGGAGAGATGTTGAAGGGGGGAGGCTCTGTCAGCAGGGAGGTGCGGGTGGGCGTCACACAGGTGAGGTGAACTCTCAAACATATTAAAAATATGAACCCGATCCATCTGACTCATTCACCTCATGCGTGTTTTTCGTTAATTTCTTCTTAGGCATACGTTGTGTTTGTGACAACACTTGGCGGTCAGTGGCTTGAGCGCAACTTTGCCACGTTCCTGTCGCACGTGTTGGACCTAGTGTCTCACCCTCGGGCCACGCAGACTCACGTTGAGGCTGTGTACTCGCGCCGCTGCGTCTCCTTCATGCTGCGCGCCACCTTGGGGGGCTTGCTTGGAGAGAAAGCACAAATCGCAGCCGGCAAAGAAATCTGCCAAGCCATCAGCAAGCAAATGAGGGCTGTGGGTAAGGAGGATGGGGGGGAAATATCACGGTTCAGAGCATTACAGAGTAAGTACTCATCCATTATTATCACCTTTTAATTCGCTCTTCATTCAGTTTTGAAATTGTTGCATGGCTTGTGCTTATGTTGTGTGCAGAGACGGCTTCTCTTTTTCTTTTATTT